TTTTAATTCAAAAATAAATTCTTTTGGAATTTTTTTCTTATGATCTCTACTATGAAGATTTTTGTTCTTTTCTTCAACTAAAAAATCTAACGGTAAACATAATTTTAGCTTAATAAACTATTTCTGTCGCTATCGTCAAAAGCGACATCATTTACGACAAAGTGAAGCTTACAAACGAAATCCGCTTATTATTCTCACCCACCAAAAATATTTTCAAATCCTATAAACAAACTCGTTGAAAAGTATCTGTAATAATTGCTCATCGACGCATGTATCGTTTCTAAAATTTACTTTGACGGTGAGTTAAAATATATATTTAACAGTTTAAAGTATAAATAAACCTTTTATGTTTTTTTTTTACTATGAAAAATAATGAAAGTATATGCAATATTTACGTATATATTTTATATATGTATGTAAAAGGAACTTTATACTGAGTTTAAAAAACTACATAAAGTATTTTACGTTATATATTACTCCACGTTCTATATTAAAATAAAGAATTTAAAGTAAATCTATAACAGATAAATATCCTAAGATTTAAAATAATAGTATACAATTTGTCGTAAAATATATTCTATATTAAGACGTTCGATATAACCTTAAATTATTTTTTTATATCTGTCAACAGGAATACAAATGTGTAAGCTATAAAATTAGTTTCTCTAATCGTTGCTTTATAATGGTAATTTGATAAATAAATAATTGTGTGAATAAACTCACACATTAAAATCAAGAAAAATAGCCATCTTCTAAACAAATTTGTTTGTAAGTAGTTAACCACTTGAAGACGGGCTATTACTTTCATTGTTCACACTGAAATTTAAACAAGATAATAATATTCTGGATTACGACGTGTCAAAAGCATAGCTCTTTAAGTACAGTATGAAAGTGCTATTGTAAATCGACGTACAACAATACACGTGAAGATTATTTGCATATTGAATAATGTATCATGTACAAGACGTACTTCCCGAAACAGGGAATTTATTTGGTATTCTCTTCGTGTAGCACAGTTCGTTATTTTCATAATTCTGTACGATAATCAAACAAAATCATTAGCATATAAGCAAAAAATTATTATTCGTATTTAATTACTTTACACAAGATAATCATTTGTCGGAAACCGTCGTTCTACCACACCTCTCACGCATTCTGTTTGCAGCAAAGGGTTTACACTGTGTAATTTGCACCCTAACCATTCCCTGCTATATTATACTATACAAAAGGATTATGCAATAATATTATCATATCGTGTGACCCCTCAGTTTTCAGTGAAGCATATTAAATTTTCAAATTCGGATACTGTCTGTGGTTTATTAGGAATACAGGAAATAGTGTTAATTTTTTAAAAACGCATTACACTAATAGGATTTGACGACATAATTGAAACAATGTGACACACTTTTACATAGCACATGCTGCTAAAATAAAAGAATAATAAATTATTCTTAAAAAAAATTTACTCTTCCGTTTTTATTTTAATAGGGTTTATGGTTTTTTAACGAAGCAAACTGTTTTTATATTTATATTTTTGTTATTTACGGATTCATATCTTTTAATGGACGTACATGTATTTATTATTTAGATTTTATTTTATTCACAAACCCAATCTATATCTTTGACACATTCGTACATCTGAAAATGATTAGAAAGATTTTGTTTTCCATGTTAGGTGTGGTGGTAACAAAAACGCAGTGTCTAGTGTATATACGTTTTTTAATAATGTTTGGAGATGTTGCAAAATTATTTTTCAAGATGAGTACAATGTACCTACTTGTATAAAACGCGCTGCAAGGTGACATACTTGATATTTTTAACCATTGCAGAGTAGCTCATTGGAAGCCTCTGGGAAATCTGCCGGATTGTTATTATTATGCATTTTTTTTTTTTTTTTTACTTTTATTGGCACACCGGCAGAAGGTGTGTCAAATAAAATATCTACAATATTTTACATTTGGAATCTCTTAGCAGTCTCTGTGAGATACTCAGTAACCCAAGGATTATCTAGGAGTATCTAATTATAACATTGAAATTACTACAAGTAATTTCAATATTATCCATAGTGTTGCAAAAAACTAATAACACTTTCATTACAGTAAATGGTAATTTAGAAGATAAAATTAAATCACTACGATCCATTATTAAAAAACATACATTAAATTAGTAGTTTAAGATTGTTCCAAAATTGTATACCAGTTAATTTAATTACAATAAGTGATTTTGGGTACTGAAAATTTAAAATTTAAATAATTTACATCATTTTATTAGATGTATAAAAGTTTTATAACCGATTAATTGTATAAACGTTTTATAATAAAACAATATTAACGATTCTTTTAAAATATTAAAATATTAATCTACATCCTTTTTGCAGCGAACCCTTTAATTTGTCTTTATACTTCATTGATTCACAGAATATAATTGAGTCTTAAGAAATGATCTTTAAGAATTATTGTACTATTTACATTAAGACTACAACTCAAAGAACCGTCAGGAAAAATAGGATCCTTAGCAATATTATAGAGAATCTTTAAACATCATGTAACTAACAAAAAAAAACCATCAAAGCGGATAACTTAGCAAATATGCCCCAAATATAAAAAAAAAAAAATCATTATTCATCACAATACTTTTAAATTTTCTCTATCTCTTACATGCAATAATAGTTTAAAATCCACTGATATTACTATAATTAGAGTAATATACTAAAAATCTATGATGTAAAATTATCATACTTTATTATTTTAAACTATCAAAGAATAATAAGAGTAAATGATTCCAAGTATTGTAATAAAAGCTGTTGATACGATTTTAAAATTTATACAAAAATAAATAAATTATGAAAAATATTACATTACGATAGTATTTCCTTAAAATTAAAACTTTTTGAAATTTTCTGAAGTTTGATGGACATTTAAAAAGTATTTTACTGACAAGTATAAAAAAAAAATAACGAATAATTATAAAATCCTTTCTTTTTTTCTTATATACGCATTTACTGATCAGTTAGAGTTAAAAACTAGAAGATTATAGACTTAACTTTTAACTTATCAGATTTTTATTTTTAATTTATTAGAAGAGAACAGACATAAATAATACCACAAGTAAGCAATGTTTGATTTATTGTTATTTATTTTACTCGAAATCAGCACTATTAAAATATCGTTCATAGAGTTTGGTTAAGGGTAAAAATGATATAAATCCAAAAAATAATATATATATATATATTGTGTTTACACCGAAGTTTCGGTAATGTTTTGATTATAATATATTATGACAAGAAAAAAGAAAAAAACTAAGTCATTTTCCCAAAAATGTATACAAGCGCTTTTTAAAATCGTGTCATAATAACATTATTTTATTTTGCTTGTTGCGGGTCTACATAAAAATGTTATTACTATAAATTGAAAACAACACTAAATGATTCATAAAAAAAACCTATACTTCATGTTCCTAAAAATGATTTAAATTTTCAGAGTTCTGTTTTTTGCCTTAAAACATTCGAAGAACTAATTACCTTCTATAATATAGAATGTAATAATAATACAATATACTATATTGAATTATTAATAATACACTATGCTCATTATGATTTGAAATTTTTATTTTAATGTATGAAATTATAACTTTATGTTGTGAAGTAATAGATTTGACACGCAATTCAGATAGAGGTTAATTTTTGTTATGTATATAAAAAAATATTAAAACAGTACATTTTTATGAAATTAATATCAATAATAATACTTTTTTTATAATGTAAATTTAACAGTTTAATTTCTACACAAATTACAAATATAATATAAAATATTGAATGCTAATAAAATAGTGTGCGTCTTTAATGTGAATATAATTTCATAAGTTAGTAATAAAGTCTAACCCGGAACTAACTCATTTAAAACCAAAGTTTCAATTATAAATAGGCAATGTCCATTGGACACTGTGGAATATTAATTATAATGACTTTGTTCGCATGTACTTGCTGCCAACCTACTCAAAAGAGAAGAGCACATAATTAACCAACGATATTATGACACGATTGAATATCATCAAACACGTGTAAAAACAGTTGATTACTATAGCAATACCAAAGTATTTAGATTTATTGATTGACTTTCAAAAATATAAAACTTCTATAGTAAATCAAAAATAATGTAGACGTTAATTTTCATTTTTTTCATCTCTCATAAAAGGGCGAAAATAATAATCCAATAATAATCATTGGGTTAATGAAAACTCGAAGAAACAAAAAAAAGTCCATTATAAATTCTTTCGAAAATATTTCTTTTTGTTGTGAATGCAATTTTTCAAAACAACGATCTCAGAAATTTTTATTTGTTATACACAAACTCGATTACGTCAAAGTATAGTGGAGAATCAGGTAAAAAAAAACATGTTTCTAGTGCTCAATAAAACGTGAGCAATACTATTCAATATACTTTTAAAGTAAGCATTAAAATTCCAACCAGTGATGGTTATGATAAAGCATTACAAGTAATGTAGCGTTAAAAATAGGACGTGCTAAAACAACTGCATCTAGTTCATAATAATAACGGCGACAGCGATAAATGTCATACACGACCACTATTGTCCGACCCTTAAAAATCGATATAAATTCGGACAACTATGGCACGGCAATGGTGGACATTTTCGCTCGAACGGTAATAAATTGACATTGAATACTTTTATAATTATATTATATAAATCCTAATGTCACTGTTGAGTATACTTTACAACAAAAAAATACTTGTATTAACACACTTCATAAAAGTTAAGTAAGCGGGAAACGCGTGGGGCGTTCATACAAACTGCCTGTTTAATTTTTCAGAGTATCAAAAAGTAAGTATTCTTTTTTAACTCATCGCTCGCTTGCCTTATACCGGAATCTTTTCCGACATTCGGTAAAGTACGATCGTTTGTTTTTATTAGTCAACTAGGCCGTAGACGACGTCGTTGTCATAATGAAATGATTATTACAGCGAAGTGATGAAAAAACTTACCAGAGTTTTTGCACGTCTGATCACTGTTCTTGTTTTTCAATAATTTGACGCAGAAAACGAATGAAAAATCCTGCAAGTAAAAAAAAAAAAAAAAAAAATTATTTACATGTACACGTGTTATTTAGCATAAAATAATATCGTTTTGGTCGCTATAAGTAAACAGGGAAGAGTTTCCCCCAGACAAGTTAAAGAGTGGAGATAGTATGGCTGCCGGCCGCGACAGGAGAAATAAAAAGAAAAAGCCTTTCCCCGGGGCCGTACATAAAACCCTCAACGTTTGCGGGGTCACTGTGATTTGTTACACGACCGACCCCGTCATCTAAGTGCCAGCGAGTATATAATGCATGGACATCATAATAATAACATGGCCGGACCGCAGCCACGCTGGCTGATTTCTATTTTCATCTCTATTTTGGACCGCCGCTATTCCCATAAGACGGACGTCTTTATTCTTTAAAGCTGTGAAATGTCAACAAAACTATAACCCGATACCATCGGCGCGTCGAGAAAAACCTCAGCGTACTATCAACCCGAACCTGCAAGGAGTAAATTTTCTCACAAATATAAAACAAATACAATTATAGAGCGGGCTTGTAACACTTTGAAATCATTAATTTTTATACGGCCACTGGAATACGTCTCAACAATATTCAACAAAATAAAATTGATTTTCACATAACTCTTACTAAAATTTATAAATGATAAATCGTCAAAAATTTCCAAGATTAGAATCCAAATATTTTCATACAAGTTGCTCAGATTTCGGAAATTTTTATTAAAAAATATTTACTAAATACGTTTTAACCTCCAAAAAATTAATAATCATCCATTTTTCGCATACATTATTGTTGTTTGTGTTCAAACGTAACACCTGAATAAAAGGCAAATATTTTTATCTGAAAATATTTTTCAAAAATATTGAACTTCTAAACATTTCAGGCACAAAAAAAAATTGTTCAATATTTAGAATATTTTATATGTTTTAAGTCACATGTTAAATTTCCTTTTAAATCAAGGCAATAAAAGTTTTTATGCAGACATTAAAAAAATCCATATATATATATATAAATATCTAGCCTTTGGAAAGCGCCCAACACATATGAAAACTTCGTCCAAAAAGATTCACCGACGGATATACATATTTATAAAATGCAAAAAAATTGCATTTTAAATTGACCTACAAATAGACGCTTAAGCATATCCGGAACCAACGTTATAATATTTTTATTTTCTCTCTCTTAGTCTCTCTGTCTCATAGCCGTTATATATGTATCTTGTAAGACATAATAAAACGCATGCGGTTTAATCCAATATTGTTTCATGGAGGCCAGTGTATTTCAAAATCAAATGCCTACTTCAAAAAACGACAGAAGGTTAAACAACATACAAAATATTCACTAAGGAATTTCGTTTATTATTATTATTATTATCATTGCAACTGTCATCCTTATTTTTAGAGCTGCGTGTGACTAAGTCATAGTAGTTCCATATGAATCGCTAAATTAGCAATTATATGCATTTAACAGCGTAGAGTTTATATATTATTCATAATTTTAAAACTTTGAGTAGAATCAATAGAACTGAAGAAAGCGTTGAAATAGTTTTTAGTAGTTATAATTATTTTAATTTTAAGGGTGTAACTAAATCCATTAAGTTGAGTGACCTTATGCAAAAAAACCAAGCACAGTGGAGTCGTGGCATAGTTGGGATAAGTATAGATGATATCCAATAGTGATTAACATCACTATCACAAATTAAGCTTTGTTGTGAATCTGTTAAATTTCACAATAGTTTGTATATTTATAAACACACAATTGTTATGTTTTAAATTTAATTCAAATACCAAACGCCTTTAAAATTATTTGCTTAATGGGAAATAAAGTTTTTTTAGAAAAAAATTCGATTTATCTTACTTAAACGGTCAAATTCTTACAGTAGAACAATTGATTCGGCCGATTTAAGACTGAAATATTTATGGGAGATAAGGGGGCCTTGCCCTCTTATGAATATAAGCTTATTATTTCGTTATTACACACCTCAAATATTTAAATTTGACAAAATGAAATTAAATAACATAAATACAACTTTTATTAAGAGAAAAACGAATTCTTTTGAATATTTTATTCCATGCAGATACGCGTCTAATTTGGAATAACATTGAGTAAATAGTGTTTGCATTATGTCATGTCAATATCAGGTAAAATTTTCTGCACTGAAGGATATAGGTGGCTAGACTAGGAATATCATTATTCTTTGGTCGTCAGAATTGATCGAGTCAAAAATGCCATCGTCTGCTAAAACTGTCTTCACTTGAACTGCGCCATTATTTCCTATAGTGCTTTTTATTTATTTTTTACTTCCATTTCGTTCATATTGATTATCGTTCGCCGTTGATATATATCCATGTATCGACTGGGAAAAGAAAATAACTATTATTTTGCGCTCTCTAAAGATGTTGTCATTGACATGCTGTCGTTTCCCTCTGTATTTTATAGATAGTTTTCTATTTTATTTCCATAAAACGTCCAGTTTTCTCAGAATCAAGATAATATATTGTATTTAAATCTCATCTTACAATGTTTTTTTTATGATTGCCTAAAATTTTTTTTATAAACCTTTATACATATATTAATATTCTTTAAACGATTTTATATTTTTATTGGGATTTAACGGCTTTGAAAAATTAGGTCAATAGTCGAATAAATTACAAACGCATGAAAGAATATATATATATATATTTTACAATTTAGTTTTACAATTTCAATAGTGTTCTGTAAAATATTAATTATTTATTATTCTTTGAGGGCTTCTTTTCGTGTGGATGGTAAGTAGTCATTACTTTGTTCGAGTTTTTAACTTTCTTTAAAGACTTATATTATTATTAAATGTATTTAACAGGTATATTAAAATTATTATTAATATAAATTAGATTTAATTAATGTATGCATCATGAGTTTTTTTAACTTGAAAACTCTTTATCCTTTGCAGAAGTATACTGTTCTTTGTAACTGAACATTAAAGGGTGAATTTTGTTATTATTTTTTTTTAGGTTTGTTCACTAGACTTAGTTTGTATGTTTGTATGGTGCATTTATTAAAAAATAAACGTTAGAACAAGTGAGTCATTCATAAGTGCATGTATACGTTTACTTGTATAAATAATCTACGGGTCTTGTAGGATTTTATCCGTTACCAACCGCATCCGCTGATCTTCTCAGAAGGATTTACTAAGGCCTTACGCAAAAATAAACCTGTATAATATGTACGTATTTTCAAATAAAATACATCAAAAACATTTTTCGAATAAACGGAAAAACACAAAATCATTACGGTTGCTGAGAAAGCATAAAACAAACGAATTTAAAAAAGGACTGCAACATAAGAAATATTGTTTTGGACTATAACCATTATTTCAGCCGTTATAATTGCCCGAAATAATATAGTTTATATACAAGTTGTTATGCAACGAGTCTGTTCTAGACGGTTGGTAAACCTTGTAGAGCACCGATTTATAGCAGAAAACTCTTGTCCCTGCATCAGATGGAAAATGTGCATATACTTGACTTTATCCGTTTAGACAAGTTTATAACTTGTATCATAGAAATATTTGCAAGTTTTAAAATCAAAATGGACTTGAAATATTCTGAATAGCTGAAAGTTAATAAAACAAGCGTTAAAGATATATTTATTTTATAAAAAAATTATAATGAATACAACTAAAACAGTAAAATATATTTTGGAGGGCTTTACAATAAAAGTGCTTCTATATTAAAAAAATTGTTATATAATATTACATACAGGTCAATTTTTTTTTTTTTTTCAACTTCATTACTCGAGAATAAAATTTTAATGTCGTTCTGATAGGATATACTTTTTTTTTTATTGTCATAATTAAAAATGTACAATAAATCAACTTTCAAACAAGAAAAATATTTAATTTAGAAAAATGAGTTGTCAATAACAACTTTAAACTACTAATTTATGAAATATTACTATTTTCATGTTCTACGAAAAGAGCTGAAGAATACTTAATGATAAAAATAACCAATGGCCATAACTCACCACTGAGTTTTAATTATTTTAAAATATTAACTTCCTAAATACTGGTAAAAGAATTTTTGTCCACTAATCATTTTTGGATTAAGATGATATTCTAAAATGTAAGTTAATAAATTATACAGAGTGATTAATTAAAAATACTACGCCAATTTTTTTCTTTTTAATACAAAGAATTTTTAATAAAAATATATTAAAACATTATATATATATATATTTGTGAACTATAATAACTATAAAGTTAATTGTAAAATAAAAACTTTTTGTCAGGATAATTTATGTAAGTTAAATAAAAAACTACGTTTATTTTTATTCCATTTAATGAGGAATATAATAAATGAAATTTTTAGTGGCCGATTACCAGTTTTTTAGTATCAATATATTCATCGATGGTCAGCTTTTTTACAATCAACTTTAAAATTATTACGGTTCATTAAAATAAATCCATTTTTTTCAGTATTTTTTTATTTAAAAAATAATTACCAAAAAATGTTGAGGGTCAAATTCTTAATAAATTGGACTATATGTGTGGTCATAATAATATATCGAGACCCTTACCCTTACCCGAACCCAATTCTAGTAAGTAAATAGGTTAAAATAAGTATATATATATATGACACCAATGAAAACTATTTAATTTTCGAATGCTCCTTTTTATAGTATTTGAAAATGTTGAACCAACATAAAAATTAAGTAATTAAAATAGCCATTAAAAATATTAAATGTTTTATTTCGTTTATTTAAATGGTCATAAAGAGAAAATCATGATGTGTATAACCTACACTACCCCCAGAAAAATTGTGGCAATTTACATTTAATCTTAAATGGCCCAAACTGTTATGATATTACAGACGAAGTTTAGATTGAATATTTGTGCACATTGTGTGTCGTTAAATCCAATTGTACATTACTAAATGAATCAAACGGTGTATGATCTAGTGTAAGGTTAGACTGCATTACTAAATATTCACCCTAATGTCACCGTTCGAAGGCACACTGTCGATCAATGGTTTCA